ATTATTTATGGATGAGAAGTAAAAAAAACCCAAAACCTTAGACTCAAACGTTAGAACAGGCTTCTCCCCGCAGCACGCCGTGTAATAAATACTCACAAAGAAAACGGCGCCGTTACAACTTATGTCTAAAAATGTATCGTTTCATGCATCGGCTAAAACACTCGACTCAGCTACATGACAGCTGGAAACACTTCACGCAAGTCGAGCTGCCCGAGATTCACAGAATTTACAGAAAATGTTACATTTTTGTGATTTATATCGTTATCGGACGACAGATGTTTTATATCGGGAGATGAGATTTTGGTCATATCGCACAGCCCTACTGCTAAACTACCTACTCAGCACCAAACAGACGAAAACACAACTGAAGAGCTCAGGAATTAAAATAGAAGCTAGAACTAGACCTGTATTCTTAAGGTGGATCCAAACACCTCTTTTAGATAAAGTTTGTTCATGTAACCCATAATTAAGTTCCTCCACTTCTACAAAGTGTGACACAAACTGACTCAAACCTTTGTGGCGAGGCTCTTTGAAAGGCCACGACTCTGTTAGCGGTTGGAGACAAAATTCAAAGTGTTTCGAAAAGAAGAGAAAACAGGCTTTATGGGGATATTATTCTATCAGTAGCACAAAGCCTTCACGAGGTACTAGAGTCTGAACACAGGCAGAAACGCAGCTCTGGCTAGATTTCTAAAGGTTCCTATAAGATGAGAATTAATTTGTAATTTTAGGGCCAAAATGACAAAACAAGCCCAGGCAGCCTGTTTGATAGTTGGGTTGATAATGAAACATTTCCTTGTACTGTAGAACACAACGCTTTTCCATCGTTCTTAGGTGTTTATTTTACCAACTGAAGAAGTAGTGACTCCAAATGCCCCACTATTAAAAATAATAACAGCAAACTGGGAAGACAAAAAGACAGCAATGTTGAAAGTTTGGTATCTGACATGTCAGAGAGAAACCTGTGAATGAACAGGAAACTTACCCAGGGGGTCAGCCTTGCCATCCTTGTCAGGGACCGTGAACACACCCACCACCTTGTGCCCCTGCTTCCTCAGGTTGCTGTAGACCTCCTGACCAAACAGGCTCTGGCCAATAATTGCTAGCTTTAACTTGTTCTGGTAATGATGCTGTAAAGGGAGCAAAAACACACAAGTTTCAACTTCACTGAAAGCACATCAGACATACTGGAAACACTGCACATGCTCATGCCCTAGTCTTTCTGCAGAAGAAGACTTTAGACACTTCACTACAGTTCAATAGACTTTATGCAACTTCCAGTAAGCAGTTATTTTACTTTGACCTACAGTACTGTGCAAAGGTCTTAAGCCACACCTCTTTTCTCTTGGAATGTAACTGGCAAAAATAGTTGTAACAAATTTGTAAACATAAATAGAAAAAAAACAGTTGTGTGGGAGAAACAGGAAAGCCAATATTTGGTAGGAACACCTTTATTCTTCAACACAGCCTGAACTCGCTTAGGCAGGAATTCTTGTAACGTCGTTAAATAATCATCAGTAATTGTTCTCTACGCTTCATGAAAGATATTCCAAAGCTCTTCTTTGGAGGCGGGTTTCCTTTAGTTCTGTTCTCGGTCAAAGTCAAACCTCTTCAACAACAACAATCAGAAGAAGAATCAGGAGGAGAAGAAGGCGGCCCAGGCTCTGGGACGGCCCATCCATGACTGATAGTGTGTTTAATATCCAGTATATGTCGTGTGCGAGGGATCATGAAAAATGAAGCTGTTCCCAGGCACTTCCCAGATGTGACCGCACGCTGGACCAAACTCTGACAGTACTTTGTGTCCACCAGCTGGAACGCAGCCCCGAGTAGTTTAAACATGACTGAATACTCACCTCTGTATATACTGACTAAAGTTTGAGCCAAACTCTCCAATCTGTATTCATCCTCCACAATTACTGTCAGTCCAGTTCTTGCATACTTCATCCTTTTCTCCCTGTTTTCCATCCTTAACAATGGATTCCTGACAGCCACGATTCCACTGAGACAATTTCTCATCAGGTTTATGAAAACAGTAGACGAACCAACTGCAGGGCAGGCGCACTATTAGGTGCTGTGTGCAGGATTTTGTCATTTTCTTACAGAACTAACATTCAGATATTGGTCATCTGCTGCAGATACTCTTTTATGCCTGCTTGTTCTTCTTTTGTCCTCCAGTTGTCTTGTTTTTTAAGAACACAGTGCACCTACAGAGATATCCCACTTCTCTGGCTAACAGCTGTTTGGGAACCACCTTGTTGGTGCAACATACTCTTTTATGCCTAAACATGCAGTTTAAAATGGGTTCAGCCATTCTTCTCTTGAATTTGGTCCTTTGTCCATGCCTGACTGATTCAAGTTGACAAACAAAGTGCTCTGAAAATGGTCAGGTTTAATGACTGGACTGAAAATGAGTAAAAATGTGGCCAATGGCCAAAGAAGGACTTTGAAAGACCTCCAAAGAGCCTGGAAAACTATAACTCAAGACCACTTTAAAACTTTTTGAAAGCAAAATATAAAGAAACGATGGCGAGCTCACAAGTTTTAACAGCACAGCAGTTTCTGATTAAACTGACAGTCAAACTGGGGCAGCAGAAACCTCTTTGCTTCTGTTTCCAATAATATAACTTTTCACAACCAGGGCAAATGTCCGTCATCATTAAGCTTTTTTTTCCTGAAGTTACATATTATTGACTTTTTGTCAGACCCTTGTAATATTTTATTTTACACCTGTTCATTGCATATGTGAGAAATCCTTAAATCTCAACCTCCCTTGGCGGTCTTAGTGGCCTTTAACTCTGTTATTGGCTAAAGGCAGCTCAGAGAAAAGCTATTGGCTGATGAAGATTATAACCCTTACCCAGCAGTGACAAGTGCATGCCAGAACCTCCCCCTCATGTGTTAAGCATGGAGGTTTCAGGTTTCCCATGCACATATGTAAGATCCTATCAAGTGCACATTTGACAGGTCTGGCTGCTGCTGCACAGCAACTTCCAAGCGACACGGTAAATAGATAAGGAATGAAAGAGCCCGTCTGATGCTGCCTCTTTCAGCCCAGCAGGGTCGTAAGTAAGCCGGGCTCCAGCCAGTACACTGTGAGCCTCCTGTGATGATGATGCAACTCCTCCAGATATTGTACAGTAAAGGCCAGCTCCGTCCGAGCGCGCAGCGGGAGGAACAGAGGAGGAGGGCGCCGTTGACACCGTAACGTGGCAAAGTGTGCACCATCTTTTCCCGTGTTGGCTGAAAATACAGCAGCTGAGTGACTTACTAAGAATGAGTGCAGTCAGACCCGAGCCTGGCTCAGTCCTCCTCATGACCCGCAGACCGCTGCATGCGTTCAGCGCTACACAGACACATTTAGAGAAACGATGTTCGCGCAATCAGAGCAGCTCACGCATCAAACCCCGGTGATTGTTTGCAACGTTACTCACGGATGAAGTGGAGAATTTCCTCAAGACTTGACTCGCCGTCCACAACATAATGGCGCTGTTGTTTGTTTTTAATATATATGCGCGCGTGTGTGCTCAATGCAATAGAAACGACAATAAATCGAGACGCTGCCGGATGTTCAGAGCCCCCAGCTGAGGTAGGCGCGCTCCTGTCTTCACACGCTGCACCTTATGCTGCCCGTGTGAGCCAGACTCAGCGGCGGACCGTGGTGTGGGCTCGTCACAGCCAGCTTATACTCGACGGCAGCAGACGCGGTACGTCCTGCCTACTGTACCGGACGTGCGCGTTCCCGTGGTGCTTATTTTACCTCCTTGCCGGCGCGGTCACGCGTGGGAATTCGTCCTTCTCATGGTTATTGGTCATTGAGCTCGTTATACGTTGCTTTAGTCTGGGATTGTGAATGACTTAAGCGAATTATACATACATGTTCATAGTATACATACATGTTTATCTCTGTGTAGATTCAGTTACTGTCATAAATTCTGCATCATACCAAAAGCTAAACTGTGGACCTCTGAAAAAGATATTGATCATAATTCACATCAGAAAAATCAAAAATACGTTTCCCTGTCCTTTCTCTGTGTATCTGTCAAACAAACACTGAAAAAGCCCAAAATATCTACTCTGCTGTGCACCTGCCCAAACTCCCACGTAGAACAGGCTCTAATCAAACAGCTGGCCGGCACAGGTTCAAACTGACGCAGGCTGCTGGCAGATCAAGCACTCGTTTATTCCTGTAAGCAGCAAAGGGCAGTGCAATCCGTCTTAAAGCTGCCCAACAGACTGCATGCTGTCAGCCTAAAGTCTTCCTATTAGTATAAGAGCACTTTTTCCAGTACAGTGATGAAAACAGCACTGCCTTTAATGGTGTTATTATTATGAATAACATCATTAAAAATGTCATGTTTTTCACCGAAACAATGTTATCGAGTTAGCAGGACGCCACACACACCGAGCCGCAGATGACTCCGGCAAGACCAGAGGTGGAGGTTTGTGCATTTATATTAACAATGCTTGGTGCATGAACTCCACTACTACTGAGAGTCACTGCTCACCTAATGCGGAGTTTTTAATGGTCAAATGCTACGGTGGCCCCTAGAGACAAAGCACGTACAAACTCCAAAACACTTACAAATTCCAAAACACA